CAACATCTCGATAGGGTAAGGCGGCTTGACATCCAGATCAAGCAAAGAGGGTAAAGTCCTCTTGCCCCGTTCGAGATTCGAACATGGCTTGCACATCGGCGAGAGTGAGAAATTATTGAGGGAGAGAACTTGATTGTGGTATTCCCAGAACTTGGCTTGTAGACCTGAAAACTGAACTTGGAGCGACTTGGCCATTTGGGTGTTGAGAATTTATCATCAGTGAAAACACATAACAATATTGGCCATCGACACCTATGGACATGCCATTTGGTGATGGGACGTTGCATTGGGTCCCATAAAGTTCATTGCACGAGACGGCTATACTGGGTTGGACTTGCAAACTTGGCGTCGGAGCCAAAAGAGACCCACTTGGTACATGAGTAGAATTTACAATCGGTGGAACAAAATTAGGCATGGATGGAGCACCATTTTGTAGAGGAATTTATGTAGGTCTTCCTTGAACTTCCACAGCCGCTGGAACACCATTCATCATGCCAGAAACTCCTCCAACCACTGCTGGACCATGGCTCGATCCTCTAGGTGCGTGATTTTGCGTTCCATGGGCCGCAGGTTGGCCATGATTTGTTTCTCCTAGCACTTGATTTTGCACACCATTTTGTACATCTTCAGGGAGAATTTGGAGTGGATCTTGATGGTTTTGACCTTTCCGAACATTACCATGAAGTTGTTAATGCTTGTTGGTGCTGATTTGACCTTCATTTGTTACTGGTGGTGCGAAATTCGAACCCATCACAAACATGGTGTGGGTGAGATTTTGAAGGGTCGTGAGAATCTCTTGTTGAGTGTGTTGGAGTCCTTGAATGGCTTCAAGGATGAGAGGTGCGTCTTGAACTTGAGTCCTTTCATCACCACCATTGGAAAAGCTTTGTTGATGAGTCTCATTATCTGCCATTTTTGCCGGTGTTGTATGAGTTCCAGATCTCGTTGAGACCATTAACCAATCCGCCTCCCCAGTGAAGTCGCCAAACGTATGAGAGGGTTCAGAAAAGTTGTTGGAAAATTCGAAGATCTTCGAAAATCTTTGAAGAAGAATTCGAATTCTCTAAAAGATGATAAGAGACTTAGATTCTTCAATTGTCTCAACTAAGAACACAAAAGAGAGGAGATGATAGAGATAAGAGATTGGGTGAAGAAGAAGGCAAAGTACCTTGAGAGTGAAAATGAGAGATCCATGGAAGAGCCTTGTAATTATTTTCTCTCTAGCTACTTTGCCTTCTTCTTCACCCAATCTCTTATCTCCATCATCTCATTTCTTTTGTGTTCTTAGTTGAGACTATTGAAGAATCTAAACCTCTCATCATCTTTTAGAGAATTCGAATTCTTCTTTAAGGATGTTCGAAGATCTTTGAATTTTCCAACAACTTTTCTGAATGCTCTCATACAAAAAGTAATATTTTATCTTATTAACTTATATAGCTTACTTTATCTTCTTCTGATTATTTAGCTCCAAAATATTAACCAAATCAGGGCTAAATTTAGCTTTCGAAAGCCATCGATCTATTTTGAATGAGCTCCTTCACGGTTGAGCCTTCATACTTTTGCTGCCACTTCTGAGATGATGATTACGACTTTTTATTTTTATATAATTATTTGCCAAGTTTTTTTTTTTTTTTTTTTGTTCGATTGTTTGTTTAAATTTTTTGCAATTTTTATTTATTATGAGGCAAAAAATAGAAGAAAGTGAATAATTACGTGTTGACTTTGTTTGATCTAATTTTGAATTGGCACATCTAAGTTTTATTTCAATCATACGAATTGTTTAAGTACTTGAGATCATCATTGGAAAACAATCGTACTGATTGGTTAAGCGTAGTCATCTAATTTTAGCATATTTTTATTTCTAAATAATAAATGTTTTTGTTTCTACAAAATAGATAAAACTATGATTTTAAAAATGTTATCATCTATTTTTTAAAAGTCAAAAAGTGGCTACGCATCGAATCAATATATATATATTTATATATATATTTTTGTAAAAATTATTTGAACACAAATATTTAAAACATTAACAATTCAAATTATCGAGTTAGAGTTTGTTGCTTTCAATGTTGCTTTGATTCGTCTTGCCTTATGAATGTTTAATCTCATTTGTGATAACTGCGTTATAAATTAAATTCGAGACCAATATTTTGTTTAGTTTTGAGTTTTTAACAACAATTTTTGAATTTTTTTTATTTTTTGTGTTTTATTATCTTTGGTTAATTTTTTATTTATTTATTTATATTTTAGACATTTTTTTTATTTAGATGCACCTAATCTAAAAATACTTAAGAAGTAAATATTTGTGGAAAAATCTAAAGGGAATTCAATAATTAAAAAAAAAATACAATTTTTTTTTTATTTAAAGATTTTTTTACAAATTTTATACTCTTTAAGTGTATCTAGATTAAGTAGATCTAAAAAATAAATATTTTTGATTAAAATATTCAAAAAAAATTACTGAAAGTTAAAGAATACGGATTGAAAATTTGAAAATTATTTTTGAAAACTTCATAACCAAACATCTTTTTGTTTGGAAAATTTTTCACTTTTTATTCTCAAATTTTCACTTAAATTTTATTTTAGTCTATTATCTTTTAAATACAATGATTAAATTTTCAAAGTTTAAGTTGTGTTTCAACATGATCCTCCCAGTCACTCCACCGTTTGAAATTTGAGTGAAAGTGGAAATATAAAGCACAAAAGTGAAATTTGAGTAAAATTTAGAGGTAAAAAATCTAATTTATCATACATTTTTCCCCCTTTTCATCTCTTAATTATGTTCATGTTAGCAATTTCCATCTAAATTTTTAACAATTAATAATGAGAGAGCCACATTGAAATATGAGTTGAAGTCTAAGTAATTTTTTCTTATTATTTTTATTGGCAAAGTATAAGGATAAGAGATTAAAATAAAATTCGAGTGATAGAAATCTCCCATTTTATATGTATGTGTAGAATTGGACTTTTAAACATTGATTCACAACTTCTTAAAATTTGAATTCATCAATTTTCATATGGGAGTCACACCCTAACCAACTAAAACACGACCTATGGTTGTACAAAAAAATAGTCCATCATTTTGATAATAAGGTTTTGTTCCCACTAAATACTATATGGACTGTGTGCCGCTGCTAGAGTTACAAACGAATTGAATTGAGCTCTGAAAATCTCAGCTCATTCGTTTATCGAATTTAAAAATCTAGCATGAGCTTAGTTTGAAAATTGATAATGATTTTTGTTGTTGTTATTATTTACATTGTTTAAATAGAGATAAAACACACTAAGAAGCCGCTAGACATGATGAAAATATTTTGCTCCTGGGTCACGTTAAAATTTTACTTTATGAGGATTAATTTGAGAAAATATATTAATATGTAAGAGAGGGGAGATCGTATTTATTAGAGCAACTCCAAGACTAAGAGGCAAAATGTCTTGCAAAAGTACACCAAAAAAAATACTTTTTTTTTTTTATCTAATTATTTTAGCCAGTGTACACTCTAACCAAACTCTTTATTTTAGCTAATCAATCAAACTAACTTAACTAATTTTTATAAGAAAAATATTATAAATATAGATAAATGAGTAAATAATCTTTTAATGGCATGATACATATGTTAATGTGACATTTACAAATATTTTTTTTAAAATATTTTCAAACGATTATATTTTCAAATAGTAAACTAAATCAATTAGATGGAATATACAAATACAAAACCAACCAAAAAAAAGAGTATTTGATAAGATGGAGAGAGCAATTTCAATGGGAAATCCTTTTGCCTCCCAATAAAGGCTAGTTAGTTATGGGGAATCAAAATCAAAGTGAGTGTTTTGTCTCTTCTAATGCAGAGCTTCTTGGAGGAAGAGAAAACCAATTGCACTAGCAAAAATAACTCGGAATGCACCTTTGCCTTCTCCCATTGAGATGCTCTTAGCTTACTACACTATCCCTTATGTAGCTATGATTTCTCTTGCAGAAGTCTTTTGATATCTTAACTGCTATGGAAATTACCAAGTCAATTGCCATGCACTGTTTTGATTCACTAAAGCCCTTATTTGATCAACTTCCAAAGGGGAAATTTTGGGGTGAAACTGATCTTTATAAATGGGAAGGTTTCTAGTATGTGCCTCGTCTTCTAGAAGCTGCAATGGCCGTCCAAGCCAAGTTTGAGGCAAAAAATATGAGTTAATTTTTTTACAATCCACTTTTAGCTTTTTACGACTACTATATTTTATTTTATTTGTTTTTGCGCAATGCAAACTCCAATCAATAATATTTTTTGACGTCACAAATACATACAAATAGTCTATAATTCAGACATTATACATCCCTCTAATTTAACAGTTCTAAAAAAAATGAAAAATTAAAAAAAAAAAAAATCAAAGCCAAAATATTACATCACATAGAACCTACACACCAATTAAAACTATTATAACTCTTAATCTTTTTTTCTCTATAATTTCCGCTATGACAAAGTAAAAAGACAAAGCCAAATATTTAAATATTTGTGACATCAGTCAACGATGCAATTACTAAAGTCACAAAATGACCCTCTTATAAAAAATAAAGTGCGAAGTAATCCAAAGTGAAGCGGTGATATTATGGGATTATTTAGAATGATTTAAATAAATATATGTTTTAATTTTTTATAAAAAAATAAAAAAATAATGTAACTTAAATAAATTCATTTATACTCATCATTCTAAATAACTCCTATTGTTATTTTTTTTTTATCAAAAATACTTTCACATCAATCAACTACCCCTACAATTCTCATTCATCAAACTATATAAAACTGCTAAACCATTTTCTTCATTCATCACATTATTCCTCAATCATCGAATTATGTAAAAATTTAAATATAAAATTTTGAATATATATAGATATATACACGCATAAAACCAAGAGGCACATCCCACGAGAAAAGAGACAACACCACCAAGAAAACAAACAAAGCGATAAATAAACACACAAAAAGAAAAAGAAAGTTGGAAGGAAGGAGCAAATGGGAGAGATTCTTTTATAAAATTTCAACCAAAAAAAATTAAAAATAAAAGGGAATAAAGCAATGAGCCCTTTGGACTTTTGTTACTGCTTTTTTTTTCTTTTTTTTTTTTTTGGCCTTTTTTTAAACTCCACTCTAAGCTCTCCATCCTGACCGTCCACCCATTCGTGGACTCACATTTTACGCTAATCACACACCGTTGATCAACAACAACTCAACTATACAGACAAAAACCATCCAACTGCTACGCACCGCCAAATCACATGCACCTGGAGCTCGGATTGGGGCTTCTATTTGGGCTGGGCCACTTATTACACTCCGGCAATTAAAAACTTTTACTTTTGTTTTTTTTCTCAATTCCCAATGCGTAAGAAAGAGACAAGATTCCCCATGCCACCTGACAAAACAAAGTTTAATGAACAAACATCACGTGAGTACGTACGACTCTGGATCTCTGACTTGTGTGTTTTAGATTAGATCAGATCTACAGCTAAGGTTACATTAGATTAAGATCAGATCGGATCTAATGGTGGAGGTCAATGGACCTCGTGATCTCATCACATATAACATATATATATATTATAATATTGGGCAAATTACCCCTCGAGGTTTGTTGAAGATTCAGATTTCCTCATTAGGTTTCAAATATTACAAATTATTTTTTAAGGGTCAAATTTTCATAACAAATTAAAAAAAATTAAGAAAAAATTTGTATGAAAATAAAAACTCAGGAAGCAATTTGTTAGGGAAATATAAACTTCAGGGAGTGGGATGTAATTTCTCAAATCTCATGAAAGAATCTGTATTTTCACCAAATCTTGAGGGAGGTATTTGTAATTTGCCCTATAATATTTTAAGATTTGTGTAGAAAAAAATGAAATTTCAAGCAACCAAAAATTACATGAAAATTGAGTGAGATTCAAATCATGTTGTACCAATCCTCATAAAAAATATTGAGAATAGGGAAATATTATGGTGCATATATATGCACTTTTAACTTTAAAAAAAATGACATAATTTTAATTTTTTGATTTATAATTAAAAAAATTATAACTAAACACAATATAAGACATAACTAAAATATTGTCATAATAAAAAAATTAAAAAAAAAATTAACTATAACCAAAAAAAAAAAAATAACATAAATAAATGTACATATAATATGCTATTTTTAAAGGAGATATATTAGAATTTCCCTTGAGAATATATTAGTAATTCTTACAAAAGTGTACCACCTTATACTACATTTTAGTAACTACTTACATAATGCATAACATAACCTGATACAATTCTTACACTTAGGCCAAGTTTGGCTAACAAAAAAAATACACTTATTTCATCTTTTTATCTTTTTTGGGTCATATCAATCAACATCTTCTCTCTACTTTTTCTAGACATAATACAAAAAAAGTCAAAAAATATACTTAGGCCAAGTTTGGGAAGACTAAAAAAGTGCACTTTTTGTCTTTTTGGACTAAAAAATTGAGGTTGAAAATATGGATGTTTGGGTTAACTTTTTGACTTTTTATTGAAAAATATGTAATAAAAAATTGTAAAAATTGATTTGTAGGGAAAAATTTGAATTGGGAGTTGTGCAGCCGTAATTGTTGACTTTTGGTGAATAGTGTTAACTTTTTAACTTTTTGAATAACTTTTTGACTTTTTGACTTTTTTGAAAGTACCCAAACTTGGCCTTATTTAGTCTTCCCAAACTTGGCCTTAAAAACTTTATTAATAGTAAGATCTTGCTAATAACGGTCTTGAAGCTGGTTAATAAAGTCACATAAAGTCAAAATATTTATAATTCTAAAAATTTTACATATTTTTATTTATTCTTTACACATTTTAATACATTATATATATATATATATATATTTCAATAGTAATAATCATCTTTAGAGCTGTTTTTAATATTTTTTTATTTGTTTATGTAATTGTAAAAGAATTTGACCGGCCGACAAAAGAAGAGACAATGTTTTGCATAGGAGGATAAAACAGTCCTTTAAGATTCGTTTTATAGTACACAACAAAGTCATTTTTGTCCATTCACGTGAATTTGTCCTGTTTTTTTATCCGTGGTCACCCTAATATTTTAATCTTCAATTATATATATATATATGCTTTACTATTTTGACCAAATATGCTGAAACCAATGCACATGAGTTACAACAGTACTACACCAGTAGGGGCTTACCCAAAATGTTTATATATTCATCTATTAATGTTAATTAGCATTTGGAATAAAGATTGAGGCTTATAATTTTAAAGTTTTAAAAAGAGTTTTAGTGATGTGATAAAGAATGAAATTCACATATATAGTAATGAAAAAATGCTTGAGAGCACTAATTAGTGTTCCCACTAATTAGGTGGCAGTGGGTCCCGCCATTAATGATGTGATGTTTTAGTCTTGGAGTTGTATTTTTTTTTAACTTTTTTAATGCATTAGTGCTATTAGTGGTGATGTTTTTAGTGGAATAAATCATTGTTGATAGTAATGTGTATGCCTATGTTTTTTTTTTGTCGTCGTCATATCACTAGAGCTCTTTCTAAAATTCAAATTCTCTATCATTATTGTTAACATTTGTGTAGTAATTAATAAAATAGTTGCACATTACTAGGACTGCAAATGAACCGACCTGTTTATGAACAGGCTCGGCTCGTTTAGTAAACAAGCCAGGCTCGAGCTTGCATAAGCTCAGCTCGTTAAGCTCGACTCGTTTATTTTTATTTAAATTATATAATAAATACATTATTTATATATTAAATAATATATAAATATATATAAATAATAATATAAATACATTTTTTACATATTAAATAATATAAATAATATTAAAAAAAATTATTGAGCCGAGCTCGAGCTCGATAAGTAAACGAGCCGAGCTCGAGCTCAGGAAAGCTCAGCTCAACTCGATTCATTTGCAACCCTATATATTACTAACCATGACAGACTATCTACCTATCAACAAAAAAGAAATCGCAAAATTTAATGAACAATGAGCTCTTCCTATAAGCTTTGTTTGCGAGTTGACCGAAAAATTTGTATATTCGTTAAAAATAAGCTTTAAAAAATAGAAACTAATATTAAAAAAATTATTCCTAATTTTTTTGACATATTTATAATTTTAATTTTTTTACTTTTATAATGATTTTTAGAAGAGTTAAAGTGAGGTTTTTTAGGAAACATGAATTAATTAAACAAGTTAAAAGACATTTTTTAGAAAAAATAAAATAAAATTTTTAACTAATAAAGTGACTTTTACGCAACCTATCTTTGAAACTACTCTTCGAAAGTAGGGTAAATAAATGGATTTTCGGTTTGAAGCTAAATTTCAGCTTAATGAATGAGCGGTCAATTAAAAACATAATTATATATATGTTTTGGTAATTCCACCTAAACTAATGACAAACTCTACCCATAATTAGTATTTTTCAATCTTTAAAAGTAATTAAATTATTTTTTCTTAATAAAGGTTGATGCTGCCATGGTGATACAGTATATATATACATAAACTAAAGGTCAGACTTCTCTCCAATTCGAGATAGAGCGTGATGTCGGGTCTATGAATCCAACATGAATTCTATTTCGATAATCTGAACTGTTCAATGTGTAGTTATTCGTGTAAAAAATCACGTTGATCGGATCAGATTTTTGCCAACGGTAAATATAATTTTCAAAATATATTATTGATAAAAATATGATTCAATCAAGAAATTATCAATATCCGATCAATGTGATATTTTATAGGAATAAAGTACTTAATGAACTACACACATTGAACGATTTGAATTATCAAAACATGACATGTAATGAACTCCACTGACCCAACAATACCATCCAATGTGGCCTGGAACCCTAAACTGAACGACATGCTTTTCCTACCAAAAAAAAAAAAAAAAACGTGACAAGCTAGCAGAAAAAGATGCGAGGCCCATCTTTAGGTAGTTCTAACACTCCCAACGGTTTTCAAATTTAAGGGCTATCTAGCCGAAAGCTTTAGCATCTCTCAATTAAAATAAAAATATATAGAGACTGGTCAACAACCACGACCTATTTTAACATTTCTTTTTTCTTTTTTTCTTTTTTTGATAAGATGAAATTAAATAAGTATACTTATCCAATTATAAGAGTAATACCAATTAAAAATAAGTCAAAAGAGAAAACAGATTAATATAGATGCAACTACCATAAATAAAAATGTTAGGAAAATAAAAAAAGAAATACAACAAATTTATTTAATTGTATATACAGTGTCTTATATAATAAAATGACAATTTATTTATTTATTTTGTAGAACCGACCGTACTTAATTTGATTTGATTTGTAGGATATTGGATGATTTTGAGAGACGTTGAAAACTAACCCATAAGATAACCCACTTTGCAAGTCATACCAACCGTGAAAGAGATTGAGGGTGTGTTTGGTTTGTGGTTCTAGAGTAATTTTTGAAATAAAAAAGTATGAAAATTTGTTTGGTTTATCTTTTTTAAAAATAGTTTTGAAAAATTATTTTGGAAAGAGAGTTTTAAAAAAAGTGATTGATTTGATGTGTATGAGAGATAGAGTGATTTTGAAAAGTAGGTATCTAAATAAAATTTTGAATTTTTTTTAAAAAAAAAATTATTTAGTTTAATTACCTTTGAAAATTTGTTTGTAAAAGATTTTTCTCAAATTTTTTTTCTAAAAAACAAACCAAAAAAAGCCTGAATGTCTAATGATCTACTAATAAAGTACCCAAAATAATAACAAACACCAAAACAAATTATTAATAAATGTAAAAATATTATATCCCAAGTTTGAAAGGAAATTTACACAAGAAATATTATTATGAATTCATAGACATGAAATATTATTTAAAATTAGTGATGCATAACACTTTCCTAACGAATATAATCTCACAAAGCAATCACTTTTTAAAAAAGTACAAAATGGTCAATTTCTTGGGTCAAAGGCACCAAAACTAGTGTGAAGACAACAGTTACACGTCAAGAACAACAAATATAGTAAATAAATAAATGGTGCTAGAAATAACATAACAAAAATAAACAAATAAATATAGAACGTAACCAATCAAAACACGACACGTATATACCATATGCCCCAAACTGTACCATTTAACAAGAACCTGATTCTGAGGCACCATTTGCGCAGTTACTATTAAATGTTAATATTTTATAATCAATGAACCGAGTCGACTCAATGTGAACAAAAATAAATAAATAACAATATAAAATAATTAAGCGGGTTAGAATTTCATACCCGACCCGTTTTAGTCCCGGAAGATGACTTCACTGGCTAAATCCAACAGGGGTTTCAAGCAATCCGGGGAGAATTTTCGGGCAAACAAGTAGGAATAAGTCGAGTTCGAAACCCGGAGCTCATGAATTAGATTCGAAGAAATCTCGGGCGGGTGGTACACATGCGGGTGCCCATCAAAACTATCGGTCCAATTGACCCTAGTGAGTGTGTAGTGGCTACACCCATTCGGATCCTCCATGGACAAAAGGGTCGGAAAATAGTGCTCTTCCGGGTAACAAGACTGGGTGTTGAGACAAGGCAATCTAAACTTCCTCCAAAGCCTCCTATCCTTGATCACCAACAGTGCGTGCCTCCGGGCCAGTACAAAAAACTGTGACCCGACCCGGAACCGCTCGAAGGATACCTCGGGCAGCATCACATTCTCGCCCCGGGCAGTGTAGCGGTCCCACAGCTGGGGCTCGCCGGAGAGGATCTCGATGAAGCTGGTTGGGTAATTGAACTGAGTCAACTCGGGCGGTGACTCGGTGGAGATTTGCGGCGAAGATAACAATGTGCGGTAGGCGAATTGGAATGAATGGAGAGGAATGCAGTGTTGGGAGATGATTGCGAAGTAGGAATTGAGGGGGTCGTCGAGGAGGGCGGTGGCGAGGAGGCGGCGCGCGGCTGAGATTAGGGTTGGGGAGGCGCGTTCGGTTTTTCTGGCGGCGATGAAGCGATTTTCGAAGACGCTGCCGGGAGGGATGGTGAGTTTGGCGGAGGGATCGGCGTGGATGTAGATGTTGAAGAGGGGTTTGTGGTCCTGGAAGAAGAGTTCCCAGAGAGGGGCGAAGTGGAGATCGGTGTTGGTGAGGAAGAGGAAGGCGATTTTGGGCTTAGGGTTGGTAGTGCCGAGGCGGGAGACGGCGTGGTAGTGGTGGTGGTGGTGGTGGTGGTGGAGGAGAGAGGAGGAGGAGGAGAGGGTTGCGCGGCGGAAGAGGGCAAGGTCGTCGAGCTCGTCGGGGAGGGAGATTTGGACGTGTTTGGGAGGGAGGAATCTGGGGGCGAATAGGAATAAGAGAGGGAGAGAGAGTAATAGAGCGAAGGAGAGAACGAATGGAGTTGAAAACATTTCTTCTTTTGTATTTTTTTATATTTTTTATTTTTTACAGATTACAACAATGTGAATTTGGGAGAGAGTGTGGAGGGAAGAGAAAGTGGAGTGAGATGGGTGTCAATGGATTAAAGAGAGATTAGGGTTTGAATTTGATTGTGATGGATAATGGTGGTAGTGGTGGTGATGAGGAGGAGGGTGGTGGCGGTGGTGGTGGTGGTGGTATATAACTAAGAAAGGAGACAAGGAGGGAGAGGGAGAGGGAGAGGGGACAAGGAAGATGATGATGATGATGATGATGATGATGAGAGAGACAGAGAAGCAAGCAATGGCTATACTAAGGAATTGGGCTTTTAGAGAGAGAGAGAGAGAGGGAGAGGGAAAAGAAAAGATAAGGGTAAAGGGACTGGTGGAGAGAGAAAGGTGCTAAAGTAGTATGTATGTAGGGCTAGGAGGAGGGGGAGGGGTAGAGAGAAAGGTGCTTAAGTAGTGTGTATGTAGGACTAGAAGGAGGGGGAGGGCGAGGGGGAGGTAGTGGAGGCATTATTATGGAGTGAGGCATGCATGGTGGGGGCTGTTTTCAATGATTTATTTAACTTAGATCATTAGATATACACAAAGTCGGGATTCATCATGTGGTTACGAGAGTTTAATTTTGGAGGAGCATTCTCCTCAGCCCAAAATTTGTATTGGAGTATGCTGTTTTGGTTGGTGAAATGCATCTGTTTTGATAATTTAAATTATTTATTTTATTTAATATTTTATTTATAAAAATAATTAAGTTGTTCAAATAATTATAATTAATTTAATTTATCGCATTTTTTATTAAAAGTAATAGATGACAAAAAAAATAAATTATATATTTTTTTATGACAAATGTAATAAATTGAACTAGTTACAATTATCGAATTGACTTAATTATTTTTGTGTGAATTAAATATACGAAGTATCTAATAAAATGAATAGTTTAGATCATCAAAATGGAGCACGTGGTGGACCCCACAAGTAGGAACAAAGCCCTCTAATCTAGATTTTGGATTGGAGGGGATCCTCTTTAAATTTTAGGGTTGAATTTCTCTCATGTTAGGATCTCAACCTGAGAGAACTTGAGGGATCCATGGAGCCTACCATAAGTCTCATTTCGATGATTTAAATTGTTCACTTTTTAGGACTTGTTGAGTATAATATTCATACACAAAATAAAGATGACCAGACAGCAGTAGCTATATCTTTGAATTAAATTTATATTACACAAAAAAAATGGATAGTTATTTTTAAAATTATATTTATCATCCATTTTTTTTAAAAACAAATATGATTCAAATATATAGTTATCGATATCCAATCAATTTAATTTTTTACATGATTATTCTACTCTGTGAGTCTAAAAAGTGAACGGTTTGGATAATCAAAATTGATTCTAAAATAGGCCTACTAAGTTCAAATACTCTCTCAAGTTGAGATCCTAATTTGAGAGAAGCCAAACCAATACTTTTAAGGGCTAAGCTTGTATCCAATCCACATAGTGGATTGGACGATGTTGTTGGGCCTGTGGAGCCCACCACATGTTCTGTTCCGATAATCTGAACCGTTATTGTGTAAAACTCGTCGAGCACTTTATCTTTGTAAAAAAATAGGTTTATCGGATATCGATAGCCACTTGATCATATTAAATTTTTATCAACAATTTATTTTAAAAATTATATTTACTGTTGACAAAAATCTGATTTGATCAAGTATCTATCGATATTCGATCAACGTGATATTTTACAGAGATAAAATACTCGATGAATTCTACATATTGAATAATTCGGATTATCGACAGAGGACCCTTGGTACGTCCTCACAGGCCCAACAGCACCCTCCAATCCGACCTCGGACTGGTCCTAATTTTAAAGGGTTAACTTTGACTTAGAATTTATTTATTTAATAAAACATTATAACATTAAAATTAAAAAATTATACTAACAAAAAAACAGAAATATAAATCATTTCTATAGATTTTTGTTTAACTAGTTAATTTCAAGAGATAAGATTAGAGAATTAACCATGCTTCAGAATATCTCCAACCCATCATTTATACCTTCATATTTGAAGAAATTTTGCCTCCAACCCGTCCTCTAAAATCATCTCCGTTTGGAAGGAAGATGGGTTGATCCTCCAAATATAGAGGGAGTATTGGCAATAAAGGATCAACAACACTATTCATTTAATATTTTTGATTGTATTAATATGTAAATTTAATTTTTATAAAATTGGTATCATTAAAAAGATTGAAATCATACATTTAAAATAAGTATATTATTAAATGGAAGATTTATTAGAAAATTCTTCTTCAAATGTTTGTATCTCAATTAGTCCATAAGATATTATTATATTCCAATAAGTCCTATTATTTGAATATTTGATATATTAAATCCTAATTATCATATTTAAAGTATTTTATGGACATTTCTATCTTTACAAATATGTTTTGAACGGTTAGCAATTTAGTGATGTGAATATTCATATTTTATAATGTGAATATTCACATTGATAGTGAATATTCACATTAACGGTGTGAACATTCACATCACGAAACATTCGTACTGTAAATGTGAATATTATTAGGAATATTTTGGTAATTATGTCACCTATAGAACTTATTGGAATATAAGAAAATAATGTTAACTAAATAGAACATAAGTAGGTGAAAAAGAATTTATGAAAAAGTGCATCATTATTAAATATATTTAACAAAAATTATTCATTTTTTGATGAAAATATTTTGGAAATAAATCTTTAGAGAGAAAATAAATGATTAATACAAAATTATATTTTTAACCTCTAATTGAGAGCGTTGAGTTGGAGATACTCTCATGCCAAAATGGGAAAAGCTTATTTTAAGTAAGCATTTTGGGCCTGTTTGGTAGGGTTTATTTCCGACTTATTTCAGTTTTTACCTTAATTTAAACTATTTTGATGTATTTGGTTCAGCTTAACAATACAGCTTATAACTTTTTGTAAGTCAAAAATCAACTTATTCTTTGAGTGAGAGAGGATAAGCTTAATTTGTAAGTCAAAAATCAGTTTATATTCACAGCTATAAGTTATTAGGTTATAAGTTATAATTACTTTTCCACAGCTCTACCAAATAGGATCTTTGACTCGATCAGATTAGGCCTTTTTTGGGAAGGCCAAAAAAAACAAAAATCAATTTATTAGCTTATTTGATTTATATCACCTCTTTACATTTTTAAACTTTTATTTTTATAATAAACCAATAAGTTTAAATAATAATAATAATAATAATAATAATAAAAGTCACTTTCCAAAATAGGCCTTACTCTGCTGATAGGATAATTTTATTATTATTATTATTATTTCTAGATGTGTAGATTATGTGTAGGCAAAATTAGATTGATCAGAGGCTTTTTTCTTTTCCTTTTTTTTTTAAATTGAAAAGCACAAGATTTAATATTTTGCACATTCGATAATTATTATAACTCAAAATAATAATAATAATAATAAAATAGAATGATTATTGTACGGGGAGGAAATAATTCTCCTCGTATAATCCTGTTGACCAAGTCCACGCTCCTCCGTACGACGTCATTTTATCACCTGAAAACACAAACGTGAGCTAGCCGGCGGGTGTGTGCCGGAAACCTCTCCGATGCCTAAGTCAGTAAGCTTGACAAATAGACAAAACTCTATGTTCTCAGAAAGAATTGTGTTCAATTACCTCCTTCAAGGTGGTGCTTGTGAGCTTTTATAGGTTTCAAATGGCATAATCCTAGTAGGACTTTTATTTCTCCATGCAGAGTCCTCCTAGGATTCATATTCCTAAGGATAATGCTTATCCTTTTACACCCTCCCCCACTGCTTAAACCAAGTGGGATGGTTTTTACCACGGCCGAACTTCTATGTAACCGAAATAACACTGGCTATGCTGAGCCACAGAGTAGGCCGAACTATCCTTAGTTCGGTTTTCTCCCGTTCAACCATGGTATGCTGAGACCAAGCTTCTGAGTAGCAAGCTCCGACCGATCTAACCATAATACACCGCAACCGGACTAACTTTGAGACCGGACTAACATCAAGTTACCTCCAGACCGGAGTAGCTTTACACCATCTTGGGCCGAAGCAATTACACCTCTCCTAACCGGAGTAACCATACCTCTCCTGGGCCGGTGTAACTATGCTTCTTCTGGGCCGGAATATCATTACGGCCTTTTACTGAGTCCTTCACACTTTGGGCCATAAAGTCCATCTTACAGCTCGGTTTAATTCTCTCCAAAAATTACCCTCTCAATTATCATCAAATAAACAATATCAATCACCTTCACGATCTATTCATTGTTACAATCGGTAGTTTTAATACCTTAATCCCTGCCTCTATATTAAAAAATAAAATATTTTAGATCTAAGGTTGTCCCCTAATCTATAACAATGCGTTTAACAATATTGGATCTAGGTGGCAAGCCGATAATAGAGACAAGAGAAGCAGTAGTGGCTAACATGGGGATAGAAATCGCAGGAAAAGAATCGAAAGGGAGATGAAGGTTAAAAGCACCACCCTCTCCCCTCCTAAAGAGCAAGAAAAGATAGAGCGGCTAGGGTTTCTTAGAGCGGCTAGGCTTGATTAGAGACTTATAACTATATAATTTATCATATTTTTATTTTACAAAATATATGATAAATATATTTTTAAGAATATACAATTTATTTTCTTAACGACAAATATGTTAATATCAAATGCATATATTTGATGATTTTAATTTTTTTATGAATATTCATATAAAAGTAAAACAATTTGAATCATCTTAAGCCTTATTGTCAGTCCAAAACATTCAGTGAAACTTCATCTATCTAAAATATGGGGTATGAATAAAAAAGGGAACCTTCTAATGATATATATCACTGATTTCTATTATCATAACTAGTATCCGATCATATACTAAGCTAAAATAGTAATACTAGTACTACTACTACTACTACTAATAATAATAATAATAATAATAATTGGATAACATAAATATGTTTGTAAGATTATCTAGAACAAAAATATTTAAGACCCCCTTTTTTCCCACCCCTTTTGACCCCCTTTCTTTTTTGATTGGTCACTTCTTCTTCTTTTTTCTTCTCCTCCAATCACCACCCGCCACATGTGTGTGGCGGGTGGTACAGGTAGAAGTTTGAGGGGGTCTAAATCACTACTCTATTTAGAAAGTGTATTGGAAAAATGAAAAGTTCTTATCAATTTAATTTGATTTACTTTTTTTTGGATGTCTGTGTGATAAATACTTTTCTTTCATGTGCACAAAATTTGATTATAAAATCAAACACAATTTTTTTTATATGAGATAAGATTTATAATTTTATTCAGATGAATTTATATATAAAAAAAAATTATGTCAATTAAATAACCGAATTATTGTGTGATCTTAAAATTTTTCAAAAGA